AGAATTATTTGTAGTATATATAGATGCATGCTTTGTGTACTGATTAGAGATATTTCGTGGAATGGTACAGAAGAATTTTTAGAAAAATTTATTAACCTTTTGCACTCAACGATTTATTCACTACAGAAGAGTAGAAATTCGAACATTTTCTGCCATAAAACCGATGATATTTTTTGACATAGTAAATAAAAATTCGTATAATAATTAACACGTAGAATTATTTCATTTCAATGTCTCAAACACTATTACATTATTTTAAATTTAATATAACAATTAATATCGATCTTCAAAATTTTATTAAATGGTAATTGAAGGTCGCCTCTCGAGTGCAAAAGGTTAATGAAATATGATAGTATAGTTTGGAAAGTATCTAGATTCATGACATAAAAATTAAAGTTCGCGAATGATGAATTTAAAAAAAATAAATTAGTTTCGAATTTATTTGAATATGTAACAAATTTAGCAACATCTTAGTTATAAAATCTTAGTCAAATTTACTCGAACACGTGTAAAAATTGTTATATAGTAGCAGAATATTGAAAATTATTTTACTAGTATTTATAATTATTTAGATAATATCTGGTATTTGCTAATACTGATAACATATACTTTTTCGTTTAATGCTATAGTTTATTCGGAAGAAGATGGTTTTATAGGTACGTGATTACTTTTGATACCTCTTTAAGTCGAAATTAGGCTCATTTGGAAAACGTTTCGTATCCATTTGTGCGAGATAAAACCCGTGTTTCGAACTCGGACGATAAGATATATCCAACATTAACGAAATGAACTTTTTACGTGAACGTATTTCGGTGAAACTCAGTCACGAATAAAACTATCGAGTAGAATAAATGTAACAAAGACGGTAGGAAAATTTATATAAAGTCGATAATAAACGCGTGACTCGAAAAATTTTCGAAAACGAATTTTTTAAGAAACTTAAAATTTAAAGGATATGGAAATGAACATAATTCGATGGCTTAATTCGTATAATGCAGCAGAAAATTTTCGCAGAACTTTCTAAACGCTTCAACCATCTTAATATAACCTTAATAGTAGTTTTTCTAGGTTCTACGAAACTTTGTTTCCAATTTTTCTGATATAGCCTGTAATATCCTGTAGAATCTTGACTTCGAAGAATTTTGTGGGTCTATTAAAACTTTGGTATAGTTCCAAGTTTAATGCGGACTTTTATACCAGCTTTTGCATCGGACTGTATCGATTCTTTCCAATTTCCTTCCATTTTTAGCGATGACGTGCATCGATGTTGGAGGAAGTCACTGATTTACTTTTTATAATTACGAGATATCCCGAACAGAAGAGAAATAAGAAGGACTACTAATTTACTGGGCAACATCTTTGAATATATCATTAGAAAATTTTGTTCCATGGTATAATTTACAAATCGCCCACTTCCTTCCTTCCACCATAATCGTGGCTGCAATTATCATTACGAGACTTAAACCACATCAGTCAAAATAAATTTAATTTCATACACTACCGATACTTTGTAATAAACCTGGGGCAATTTTTCGATTATCTAAAACGAGAATTATCTGAAAATGAATTATTTATAATCATCGAATGAAGCACCCACGATAATTTACTATCGTCTGTTTCGTCTACCAAAATATTTCTGTAAGCCTCGTTACAATTCAAGTTCAATTAATATTGGCTTATAACGCAATATCCATAAATTAAATTAAGCGTTATAATCCTATACCTAATTTTGACTTGTAATGTATAATAGATGAATTAACGAACCCCATATCGTATAACTTTGCACTTAATTTCACTGATAAGTAATACAGCTAAAAAGCAATAAATTTAAACCATACCATGCTATATGAAAACTAAACTATATAAGATCAGAATACCTCCTTTATTGTATTGTATTGCAGTCCCTTGGATCGTCGATGATCTAAGCAAATCTCCGACGCACATAGCCCATTAACACGTTTTAAAATTGAAACACATGTCCCAGACGACCCAAAGAAAAATCACGTTCCTCTCAACCTTGTCACTCGTGTGGACTCGCCCTTAGAGGTCGATAAAGCGTGCGCGCGCGCAAACACACGGCCGTTCTAAAATCTAGGCCCGATTAAATATTCAAATTCAACTGCCGTGGCACGAGAGGAGATAAGCTAGCCTGCTTTTGATCCACTTTTATCTCGGATCTTCTCTGTTCATAGCGCGAAATTAAACGGATGTCTACGATTTAAATGTCGCCTGCCGTGTAAATTTACCGTGTACCACGTTTCACGTGCCACACCTCCGATAAGTAATCGTTAAATAATGTCTGCTAACGGCCGGTATTTAAGTTCTTCCTCCCATTCACTCTGAAAATGTACGTACGTGAAATTTTTGTTAGTCTAGTTTGCCTGTACGTGTTGATAAATAAATTAACGGGGAATTTGTTACGACGAAAAGAATATGTACAGTTAGAATTATGTACAAACTGATAGAAGGTTAATATAAAATGATAGATAAGAGGCAACTCAGGTTATAAGTTATTGGTTTCAATGTATAATATAAAATTTTATTTTTACCGAATGTGTATGATAGCTGTAGTAAATTATACTTAGTCGTTGGAAATTATTCAGATAAATGTAATTTTTGAATAATTTCTATTTTGTTACTATCAGTAAATTAGTATTATCAAATATATGTATAGGTTATGTTTCGCTCAAGCTAAGTGTTTATCAATCGTTTTTGTTCATTTATCGTTCGATGTCGTTATATCGTTACTGTTATTCCTATGCTTTCATCGCATATTTATTTTTCGATTACACGTACGTGAGATAAACGACGATTTTTGATGAAACTTTATGGCAGACTGTCGCGAAGGATGGCAATAAATTAGCCACCACGTTGAACTTACAGCAATGGTTGTCATGTGAGGCATGAAAATAAATAAATAACAAATAGATCGTATAAATTTCTAAAGCTGTAGTTAAATATAGTTAAAAATAGCGAGAAATTTATGTCTGATATCTATGGAATCATCATAAAATATTCATTAGAAATACGTGTTCTTTTAACTCACTGAATTTTAATTATATATATATACAATGTGAATTTTTATTTTACAGATATATCAATGATAACATGTAACTTGAATGAGCGAAGGAAAGTGACCTTGAAGTATTTGCGATCAATGACTAAAAAAATTATTTAGTTTCACCACTGTGTTTTCCCTCCCCGATCGAAGAACTTTTATGTAAGCAACCTTCTTATATCTCCGATAGTTTATGAAGCAACTAAACGTACCTATGTCGTATAGAATTTATAACCAATCACATAAATGACAAATGTATTATTAATACTCGTGAACATTATATATCAAGTTAAACGAATATCATTTTCAACACACATAATTGCAGAATTCGAACGACACAGAATGCCAATACAAACATGAGAAGATGGAGCGAATTAATATTTTATGCAATAATATATGTAAACCAACAATGACAAGAATTCGTACGTATTTTGCCATCGTTATTTTAGCACAAATTCGTCTAGATTTATTTTAATTTTGTTCGTACTATTAATGTATATCGTTGTTTAAAAAATAACTAGGAATTTATATATATTCGTTAAATAAATAAAAACACGAATTGAAACAAGTCAATAACACAATAATGGTGATAAAGAAATATCGAGGAATGAGATACCAACATAAATACACGTAATAAAACAATAAAATATTCATTCTCAACAATAAGAGGTTGGAAGTCATATCGGAAGTACGTTTTGTCTATCTATGAACGTACATAGTTCGAGGGTGACCTGCGCGAAGTTTGTCGCAAGCAAAATGCTCGCACTGACCACTAATATTCACGTGCGAACAGATTTGGTTGGCAGTAGCAATATACGAAGATGTGCGTCAAGTTATTCGGTAAATTTGTTTCGTTTATCTAACCATTAAGTTTTCTATAACAATATTACATATTTTATTAAACACTGATGCCACACATTACAATTGGCTGCGGCTGCAATCACGTTAAAAACTTCGTTTATTTTTTGATTATATTTGCGTTCATTTAACGACTGAGATAAATTCTGAAGTGGACAATATTAAAAGAAATCACGAGCACCGGTCGAGTGAACCGCTTATAACCTGCACGTTTAAGAATTTTGCTATCTGAAAATAGACTAATTGACTTATGTAATTCGGTAAACGTGGTCCCTCGGTTTTCAAGTGGGAACGGAACTGCACGATTTCCACGACAAAACGCTCGACGTGTTACGCGGAAGGATCTTTCATCTCGCCGGTTTCACATCCGTGGCAACGTGTGTATACCCTTATCATCAGCGGATCTGTCGTCGGTTCTTTTCCGAGGAGACGAAAACAGGCAGCCGGACAAGTCAGCACACAGCATCCGGCGCCGATTTGAAAGGCGCTCTGCGTGTAAGCATCAAAGATTTGGATTAACGTTCGCGCAGATTTCAGCGGCAAACATACCGATTCTCGAGTGGCCAAGGATGGGAGGATCCCACTCGACGATGACTGACGTTTATTTCACGTTCGTAAATCATCCTCGCGAATGTCCGAAAATGCGTGCACTAAGGAAGAATTTCGTAACCCGGGACCGTATGAGATTCGTACGCATTCTGAAAGAAACTCTGCCCAGAGAAAATTGGCGCAGGGCGGAGCCTAGAATTTTCGTACTTGGAAAAGCGCAGGCGATATCGCTTCCTCCGGGTTAGCGGCCCTCTGATCAATATTAATACGTGACACCGGCGAGAGGGCGAACTGGTAAGACACACACATATGCATGTACGCATAATACATACAGAATGTATCGTACAAAGGATAGGAGGAACAAGAAAGAATAGGAAGGGATTGAAGAAAAATTATCACGCGTTCAATCACGTTTGAAACGAGGCATAAATAGATGAACAACGATAGGGGAGAAACAGTAAAAGATAAAGTAGGAAAAGGAGGATTGATAAGAGCGAGAAAGAAGAGGACACGCTGTTAATAAATGTGTATTTACCGCCAATCTAGGAACGTCCACAGCCTTGTCGGTGCAGCCCACCTCAATGGTTAAAATGCGACAGAACAGACCCTTGTTTCTTGCCCTAGCACGCAGCATGCAACACCTTTGTATCCTCGTAGACCGGTTCACGGCACGTCATCGATAAAATCGTTCGCAGGAAATCACGGTAACTACTGTCAACGATTCAGAAGGGCGCGGAGATCAGGGTTGAGGCACTCTATTCACTCACGTACACGCACTTTTCTTGTCGATTGTAATGCTTTAGCGATTCTTTGTACGTACACGAAGCCACGGTTGTATAATTGGCACTGTCGTTACTGTCACGTATATTCCCGTATATAAATTTAGTCGTTTCCCGATGATACGCGTACCCGTTATTATGAATGAAGATTCGAAATTGTTAGCATGCAAGTATCGGTACAAGCGGAATCGCTACGGAACAATTCGACCTCGTACATTCGGTCACGATACGTCCGCGTATTGCATTCTTTCAAGACCAACTGCGGGACCACGATTTTTAGCTCTCTAACTCTTCTAGTGGTGCCCCCCTATGGCGAGCATAACCCAAGAGTATGCAGTACATAGATAGGCATTCGCACCGACATTCCTAATAACGTTTTCATGTAGCGACGAAACAATATTTTTACTATTTTTATATAAAACTCTTATTAATAATAATTTTAGATTAAACGAAGAATTGTTTTCATTACAAATGAATTACATTATTAACTTTTGATGAATACAAATGAACATTATGTAATTAATTCATTTCATAGAAATTGAAATTGAAATTTATAAAATATTTAAATTATATTTAAAATGTTAATGAAAAGGGCTATTTCCAATATTTTTCACATTGAAATACCAATGACTTTTTCACTTTATTATAACTGTGTAATATAAAATATAATAATTTTCGATAATAATTTATTTTATTTGTCTCATATTAATGTCATAGACGAGATTCGTCTTTATAGGCGCGATACTACATTAAAAATGTTATTAGATTAAAGGCAAATACGTAAAATATGTATTTTTATTAAGAGATAAATAATTATCTTACATGAAATTGGTTACAGAAATATTAATTTGCAATATAGTGTTATACATTAAATGTATTTAAATATAAGTATAAAAAATGTATTGATAGTGTCATTAAATCGTTTCTCACTAATCAAATACGTGATAGCTCACTAAGGCAGAATGAAATTACTTTCACACCAGCTATCCAACAATTCATATAGAGCTGATGGTTATACCATTTATCTAGTGTCGGTAATTTGTAGCCAATATATCGACATGTTAGTTCATACTCTGCATTTATGAAGAGTTCTTTTTGAACTATGTATTGGACTATATATGCTTTAATAATAAAAGTTTATTTTATCCATAAGATTAACCATAACAAAATGGATAACCACTATATGTTATCGTTAATGTAAAGCTACGAACTAAAAGTTTAAAATAATGTCATACCTTAACAAGAATTTTTATTTGTAGGAATGTTTTGAAATTATTCTTGAAATTTGTTGTAAACTGTTCAGCCAACTACAGATAAAGGAACAGAAAATTTAAATAAGCAAATCAGAAATAGAAACTGTAAATGAAAATAAACAGATACAAAATAATAGTTTAGCAACAAATCAAAGCTTTGTAGTTTACACAGATATGAAATTTCGTAAGTAGTTTGAAACTATAAGTTTTTAGAAAAGTTGGTACATTTTGTCATAATTAAACTGAATGTATGCTAATGTTTTATTATAAAATATTAAATCGTTAAAGTTTATTTCAATGAATTAAAAATTTCAGGGTTTCAAGATTGATTATAAACACATAAACAATATAACTATGCTAGAATTCTGAAAAAAACTTTTATTTAGAAATATCACTATTAAATAGTAAAGAAGTAAATAAGCAGTTTTTATTTCAGTACAGGCTGAGTATTCTTTTATATAAGATATAATATCAATAATTGAATAAATTATATAAATTACACTATTAAATTCAAACAGTGAAGAAGTAAGTATACAGATGTATCTACCATGAACTAATGTATTACAGGTATAACATAGAATATCAAAAATATTATAAAAATAAAAATAATGAACAAAATGATATATTGATATCCAGATTCAACGACGTTGTGCTATTTTAACATTTGATCATCGTTGACATTATACTATGAAAATACATTTGGCTCTAACACATTTTTATTTCACTTCTTCATACACCTATTACAAAAGAAGCAATAACATTCGATCGAAAACTTTATACGCATATTACAAATGTTCAACATAATAATAGTCACAGACAGAGAGAACGGAAGAAAAATATATTCTTCTGGTAATCTGTAAGTAATGATCATAGGTACATATATTAATCGCGTGTGGATCGCATTACATAAACACGTGGCTTTAAAACGGCGCGTGTTGCAGCACAGTAAGAAAAATATGCATAGAAAAATATGACCAGCTACGTAATAAATCGCACAATCAAACGCATGAGCACAGTGTTATGTTTATTTCTTCTCGAATATAGCTGTCGGAATTTTTTTCTCGTCGCGGGTGAATATAATTGAAAAAGGACCTCGAATATAATGGTTATCATAGTAATCGTTCTTACAAATGATATGCTCAGTGAATTGTGTTTCGTTCTTCATATGAATCGTGGTTACGCGTATACTTATTTTCATTTCGTGGTATTACTGTTCTACGCATGTACAGAATCCTATAGATGAGACACATATAATATAAATGCCATTCGATATTTATTTGCTTTATATTACTTCTGCATCGCTGGAGATATAATAAATTTTGATTCGCAATTTTATTGTAATTTTTCGAATATATAAACTAGAAAAGGGATTGATCCCTTAAATAATTTGTTTCAACATTTGCAATTCTTTGGTTTTCCATGGGAGATAATTTATATATTTTCATGGCAGTTCTATGATAACTATTTCACTATAATATGGGTATACCTTACAAAAGTAATTATTCTTAAAATTAATGATTAATTTCAAACGATAAAAAATATGTTAAATTATTTAAAAACGAAAACACTTACATAGAATCATCATTGTAATTTTGTTTCAATTATCTTAATAAAAAATTTTATTTAAGGGATGAATCCAATATGGTGTTGGTGCCATGAACGATATTTTAAATCTGTTAAATTATTCATAAAAAATTAAAAGCAACAATTCATTTTCATATACAATTGTAGCAATTACTAGAATTATTCGACTTATTAATAATATATAAATTACCGAATAATTCCGATAATTTTCAATCAGCCTGTATAACACAATACATTTTTAATTAACGTATTATTATTTTTATAAGAATTACACAATACATAACTTTCGCAGATTTTCAAGTTCAAAATTACGATAATTATGCAATTTGTTGTTTGTATAAAGCAGCAATAAAATATATAATCGATAAATCCCATTAGTCTAATTTAATATTTACATTTAGAAAATCTGAGTATTCTAAAATTGGTTCTCTTATTTTTGAGTTCATTCATTTAACATTCCATTAAAAATATAATTTTTGATTGTTGATAATTTTGATCGAGAAAAACTAATTCGAAAATTTTTCGATGTCCTCGTTTGCTATTGAGTTTGATTTACTGTATTATACCTTAAAATTTGTTTATTTATGGAATAAAATAGCGCAATTTATTCCTACTCCTTTCCTCGTTAAACATCCTGTAATTTCAGTAATAATTTAATTGTCTAGAAAATCGTATGTATTAGTCTTCATTAAAAATTATTTACAAAATAAATTCCTGTTAATTACAAATTGTTTTTCAATTATCTGAAAGATCATTAGTGGATTTTACTATGTATGTTATTATTATGTAATTTCACAGTGCGTCTATACGTACGTTAGATGTAGTACAATTAATATATTTATTTCGGCGTGTAATTATACGTTCACTGCATAAAATTCTATTGTTTCCTTGATAAGGTACCACATGAACGTCGATATCTCATGCTGCTGAACAAACAAACAAATTACATCATCGTTGAAAGTAATCGAATTGAAATCGACAACGTTCCAAACCAACTTGTTGCCTTTCGAAATTCTCCTTCTGGTAGTGTAACTGCCATCTCTAAACAGCAATACAGTATCTTGTGGATATGTTTTTTTTTTGTCATGGCGATAATTAATACTTTGGTGGACGTCTTTTGAACCAATTTCACTTTACGTCAACCAAAGTATCGATATTCATATCGACTATCGATTATCGGTACTTTCTAATACTTACCATCATATCTATTTAAATGTTAAATTACACATATATCTTTTTTGTTGTTGTCGATAAGAGATCAGTAACACATTAACAGTAATTATTACTTATTTGATGCTTATCGATATTTGCTAGGGATATTACTTATTGTTTCTTTGTTAGAACAGCACACTCAAAACATTGGTAATTTCAATTCGGCGAGAGTTATTTGACGCAATCGACTCTGCATCATCGATTTCGAAGGTACAAATAAATTTCTTTTTCTTACATACGGGTTCCATGTGTACAGAATTGTAATCTTTAATTCGAGCTCTAAAACATTTTTGTCTTTTTTTCTTTTCGAAAATATATAATAAGATATATCAATGAGAGATCGATGAATCGTTCGATCGTCAAATTTGTTGTATAATATATGTACAATGTGTAGTTAAAACAGCAAATATCCCTCGCCATGGAAGTATTGATATATGGGGTAATTAAAGAGCGCCTCAATTATTTCTCGACGTCAAAATCGATCTTGCATAAGAGTAAGTTCAACAGCGATTGCTTTAGAGTCCATTTCCATTTATAGACTGTTTTGAAAGCTAGTATTTACGTTCAGCAAAAGATAGAAAAAACACGGTTTTACATTTATGTCTATGGTAGTCTATACTTGGCTAATCAAAGTTGAAAGAATACAGTTGCAAATATTAATATATTAATTCTAAGTAATTAATATCATTGATAATAAGATAGATTTGACAATAACAATCACTGAAGAACTAAACGTATACACAGTTTTAAATTTTTTGAGTTAAAGTATTGATGGGTAAATTTTTTATTTGCTTACTTATCATAGAATTATAAAGTAATTTATATTACTTTCATTATAACTAAGTATTCATTTAGTGTAGAATTATGATTATAAAATGGCGCAAGAGGAATTCAAGAATTTTACATATATAGATTAGATACAGAGATCTTATGCAGGGTAATTTTATTTTGAACTTATATAGTATACTATAGCATAGGATAGTATAGTATAATTCCAAAAAATCAGAGAATAGATAAAGAATATAATCATTTTCAATATTTTTTTATTCTATCTTCTAGCATTGAGATTATAGGAATTTGATTCAATAATACATGATATAATTATTTAAATATTTTGGCATATGACTAAAGTGAAATATAGATTGAGTATGATGCCACAAAGTAGATGTCCACTTTAGTAATGATTATAAAATTTCAAAGTATACAAAATAGAGAATAATACTTGAATTCCTCTGACTGTAGACATATATATGTATTTATTGTTGTATAAAATAAAAAAATTTCAAAAATATCTTATTATCAACCTAATTATCAAGTCAATTCATTTTCTTCACAGTTGGTTCGCCTACCGCGAAATAGCCTAGAGTTCTTTTACCTAATAAACTGACCGAGTCTAAGTTTTTCGTTGCATATTCACTGTTTTTATCTCACTCATGGTTTTGTTAGCGTTAGCGTTTACCTTAAGTTATATGCTTATATGGTTACACGGAATTTACAAGAGAATTCTGTTAACAGTAAATCGAGAAAAAAATATAATTGAAAATAGATATAACGGCGATTAATATAATTACGATACATTTACAAATACACTTTCACGGGAGCCATTTTGTAAAAAGAACTATTAACAGAATTTTTAAAAGTAGAAGTGACTTCGAAGTATATATACATATGTATCGGGAATTGGGGGGATATAGATGTGATATATAAAAGAAATGGCGCAATGAATTATAGAAGAAAAATGACAATGATTGTATTAAAGAAAAATACAGAAAAGAAACAAAGTTAAGCATAATACCAGATATTCTAAAATTATGCAATGAGTCAGATTGCGCAAATTCCTCATGACAATAAAAATCATAGTGTATTTTATAATATACATATATATTTTATTTTATAATTTAAATAAAGATATATGTATATATACACTTCAATACAATATGCATTTCTTTTATTTTTATGACATATATGTAGTAAGTACCAGAAGTGGAGAATACTTTATCTTATGTTTTGTTGTATAAAATTTTGTTACAAATAGTAACAGTTTGATATACTTTTTTTGCCATGAGAAATTTGTGTATAGTAAATTATTATATAACTTAAGGATACCTGGTAAAATGGATTGTCTATTTAATTTATCAATTAAATGAAAATAATATAAAGATCATGCATTCGCTACTATGCTAGAATGTAAGATGGCATCACAATGATTTTGATCAACTTAAAAACTGCATGAGATTAATTATGTCGTGCGGAAAGTTAATGTAAAGATAATACACTGCATATATACAATTGTGAATAATAAATGAGCACTCGCATACATACAAGAAATTATGAATACAATCAAACTATTTACAACGTTAATAAACCTTCTCTTAGTTTTACATTAGACGTATCATTTTTGTATGTATCAACTATTAAACAGAAATGTTTATCTTCACGCACACTTGTACACATGCTCACGTATTACGAATTTTGTGCCGAAAAAAAGTCAAGTTTATCATCATACTTATACTTGTTTGTAAACTATTGACGCAATATGTATGCTGCGTTAAGAATTCATAACTAAAAATCGATTTCTTTACTTTTTTCTCCTTTTGAACTGTTTACAATTGCAATTAACGGAGTGCATCTATTTTTATGAAACAGTTTTTAACGCCTATTATTCATGTTTGTGATTCATATTGAAAGCTACGTTACGTTACGTATGTATACTTGGTGCATGTTCAGAAATTGACAACTGTTTATTGAATTTATATATGTATACAATAGCAAACCTCTAACTATACCTTGAGACTAAATCCTGGCTGTTTTATATTTTTTTTTTCTTGGTAAATGTAATGTATCGGTAAATTTGAATTAATGGTATGCTTATAGACCGACGCTAACTATCAACTGCTTAGGCCTTTTTTTTAACATGAATAAGTGTGCACAATCGGTATGATCATGCGTAGAACGCTTTTAACATGCAGATGACAGTTTTTTAATCTCTTAAGCCTGATTATAATAGTTTTGCTCATGAATGTTGTATACAAGACATTTATATTACTAAATGTGAGACCGGAGAAACGTTAATAGGCAGATATTCATTCATTCTATAATATGAGGCACACAGACAGCCATATATCATTATAGCGGTATCATTTATCTTAGGAAATCAAATAAACTTGATGCACCCTATTAAACTTCGACATATTTAACAAAGAGTACGAAACGGTGACAACTAGTACACTTTCTCTTTTGTTCCTTCTATCTCAATAAAATTAATTCGATCGTATTCTTTCACTCTATCGGAATGTGTCGTGAAAGAAAGACTATCACTTTCATCGTTGAAAACTATAAACATATAGAAATTCTGGTAATAGAAGATATCAAGGTTATTTAAAATTATTGGTAAAAGTAAAAGAATGATATTAATAAAATTTCGATTCAATTCTTTCACTATAACCGCGGGTTTTTCTCGCGTAATTTACCTACATACTTCTAGGTAACCATCCGACTTAAAGCTGAAAGCTTGGATACCTATTAACAAGTTTCCAACAAAAAGTGTTTTCTAGAATCATATACAATAGTATATGTAACAGTTACGCTCAGTCGTGCCATGTGTTCGGAAAAGCGTTTCTGCGCTTATCTGAGACTACGATGGCTCTACATTAATCAACGTAATTGGTGTTTTTCCTTGCGAAGTCAACAGATGTGTCTGCGTTGACGTTTGAAAAGTTTGTCTACCTACGATAAAGCTATATAATGGACGTTTACATATATATCTAAATAAGTTAAAAAAGAATGAATGACACTTACTACTTTTTACATGTCGCTGATATAAGGCAAATAAATAAATAGTTTTTATATAGATATACATATAGAATAGTTAATGTGTGAGTGGGGTTTCTTTCCCTTTATGCTATGTTAAGCATTGTTACAGCTGCATCGTTTAAGTATACGTTGCGTAGGTCCATAGCAAAGACGATTTCTTTTCCTTACTAATCTTATGGCAAAAAGGAAAAAAACTACAAAAATACATTGAGACATGATTGATCTAGCCAATTCATTGAAGTCTCCCTAAACGCGTTTCGATTCAATCGATATCCGTACACGCACTTTATATTTTTAAACGAAACAAGTACATCAAATTTCAATTTGATCTAAATGTCTGTTTGTATTCTTTTTTTTCTTTTCTTCAATATGGATTGAATATTAAAATTTCCATAAATTAAAATACAACCTCACAGAGGCTGTTGAAACGGGATAGACTTAACTAACCCTCCCACCGCCTTTAGAGTGTTGTATCATGTTTGTTCGGCTCATAATTAAGCAAATTTACCTAAATATCATAAATATAAATGTTCTAATTCACTGGTTCAGCCTTTCGATTTTGAGACACAGGCAGTGAAAGGGTTAGATATATTCTAGTTTTGCGACTGTGCTTTTTTTCCACCACGCGGTTTGATGCTTTCTGAAATCTGCCACATAGCCTCCTCACAGAGGAAATCGCTGAAATTGTTGAAGAACGTTATTATACGTTCGTGCTTTTTGAATGAATATGTCCTATAATAAATAAACAATTCGATTTAGAAACAGTATTAAAATACATTTGTCACAACAAGAAATTATTTAAAAAAAGGATCCTACCCTTTTTTGAACCTTTTCATATTTTCAACGATATTAAACTGTTGCCATCTTTTTGAAAAGTTTATAGTGCCATCTGGTAACAGATCACTATTTCCAATATGTACGAATGTAAGATCTTGTAGCACAAGCCCACTGCAAATAAGAAAAAACATTATACATATTGATGAACTTTGCTTTTAAATCATTTAAAAATAAAATTATATATCTCACATGTAAGGAATACATGGCGGTTGTGTTTCTGCTAGAGCTTGCCTGTAAGCTCTAAAGCTACTAGAACTATCAATAAGAGCACAATATTCTTTTAAGCCTTCCGTAATATGTTTCTGCCATTCGAGCCTTCTAATGGGCGCGCTATCTAATGCAGAAAGCAAGGCTAAGTAGCTATTAAAATTATTTATTTTTCTAAGGTGCTTCATTATTTTAATGAATTTAACGACGTATTTTTCTCTGTCCTTCGCTTCATTCTCTAATCTATGTTCCAATATTCTTGATCTGGCCCAATACGACATTTTGTTAAAGTGCTCCGTGAATCTAGTTAGGTTTGGACTTCGTTCTTCATTTTGTTCTTGAGCCCAAATTAGTACTTCAGGTATCTCGATTTTCATGAACAAATCAGCGTCTAATAGTGTCATTTGTTCCGCAATTTGTTCACTCTTAAAATCGAGAAGGGAAGCTTGCTTTGTCGTTACGCTTAACGAAGAAAGAATTGGTTGTGCAGATTGTAATTGTTTTGCAGCATGTTTTTCTAAAATTTTAACACGTAGAGCTTTTGCCATAGTAAGATCACCGCTACACACTAATTGTTGCACGAACTCCATTAGGGTTTGTAAAAGAGTATCATCGAGATCTGACATGCTGAAAATAATTAATATCTTCAGTTACTTAGAACTATTTTAAATTTAGAAGAAAATCGGAGCTTGATAAACTTACGTTAAATCACTAACGACTCTAACTAATAGGGAAAACGCTTCACGAGCTGCTCTTTGTTTAACAACGTCAGCAGAACAAGAAAATCGCTGATGACGTTTATGCAATTTTTGAATTAATTCGAGTGGTTGCATGAAAGTTCTATATGTCGTTAAAAATGCTTCTTGATACAAAAAGTCTGCAAATAAAATAAGCACGTGAATGCATTAATTTATTAAATACTTATCTTAGTAATCATACAATAATGTCATAGGAATATCTTAAAAATTCTTATCTTTTGAAATATAAGAGGAAGTTTAAGTTATACAATTTAAAAAAATTAAAGAAATTATCAGACTGACCTGATTCCTTCTCATCTATGAAGCGTGAAAGAATATGGAATATGTTATATTCTTCGATGGATAATTATTAACAATGCAATTCACATTGTAAAATTTGAATAAACTCTTACCATGTTTATTAGCTTTGGTTGCATGAATTAACAATGCATCAGGATGACCACCCCTTATGTCTGGCCCTTCTTCATCTGGCTTTTTGAAAACCAAGTACTTGCTGATATCCAGTTCATCCAAAATGCTATCGTCTTGATCGACATCTCTCAATTCCAAAGTATTATCATCGACTGATATCGATGATAAAGCATTGCTAGCAGGCCTTGAAGGTGGCAATATCGTATCTAAAGCAACGTTATTCTGAAAATAAAATAATACTCGATTAATAGTGACCAAGTAATACAAACTTATATTAATACGAATTTAAAAAATGTTTACCAATTTTACTGGAGTCGATGGTGTCAGCTCTTTTTTATCATGAATGCAACTAGATTCTTCTACCTTTACTGGAGTTGATGTTACAATTGGTTCGATTGTATGTATACTTTGCATGCTAATGGTTGGTTTTGGTGAAATCGGCGGAGGCGTTGCATTTGATTTAATGGAACGAGATCTCTTTGGTGGCAATGCTGGTGGGAGACTAGAATTATTTGTTACTTCTGTTATCGATGGTGTCATAGTTATGGAGGTACTGTAAGAAAAAATACAAGATGTTTCTTTTATTTCCTATACTGAACCTGGGAAGATGTGTAACATTAATATTAAATCACATACTTTGAACTATCGTGCAATGTGGTCATAGTATGTGCCATGAAAGAACATGATTGTGTTGTAGTAAGGGCCATTTCATGTTGTTGCCATTCTGCTTGCATTGAATTATAAGCTGCCACTGAATGACGGGTCCCAAGACCAGAGATGAAGTCATTGTTACTGTGAGAACAGTTTCCAAACATCTCCATGTATGCCATAACTGAAATAGATATAATCAGATTTGTATAATTTTAATATATTAGACACTGACATACTTATTATGAAATAATAAAAATAAGTAAATAAAAATATGATTCCATGATATATATGTATAATATATATGATAGATATACAAGCATGATTCATGTTACAATAAAATATCAAAGCACAGGTGTATAAAATACAGAAAAACACTGATGCACAAGCATATATCTCAATACATAATTATACATAAATTCACAAGTGCAAGTTTTATATAAACTCACTGGAATAAGAGTGTAATCTTTTAAATAACATTTTCACTCCGATTAATTACACTTCTCACAATTAAACAATTATTTGCTTGGAATGAATATTAGAGTAATAGAAACACGAAAAAATATGTATATCGAGAAAATTTCGTATTATAGAAGATATATTCCCTCGTTGATACTTTACGCACAATCGTGGAAACGAAAACTAAAGCCAGCTGGCTCAACTCTAGAGTTAAAGAAGCGTAAGTGTTAACTGACTATTAGCAAGAAAAGGTCAATTTAATTAATGGTACAATGTCGACGCCCACGTAAGTGGTTGAAGATTAGTTTCTACGGTTAATGAAATTTAGAACTTGTACAAAAATGTTAATGGAAAGAATAAGTTTATAAAATATGATGTGTATTAAATTCAAATAATTAAATAAATTTTATAAATTGATTTAATTTGAAAGGAAAAAGTAGAAGAGAAAGCAATAAAATTTGAAAGTTGAGTAATTTGTATGTAGGAAAAATGAATATTATTCTTTATGTTTAGTATTATTTTAATTATTTTAAAATGTAAGCCATGAAAAAAGCCGAAGGTATGAGTAAAATATTCAAGCTCAGTGTCAAATGAAATCGTGTCGATCAAATTCCGTCAAAATGAGATAAAAAATAACGACGAACATGCCGCAAAAAGCTAAGAGCTTAAAAATTGTGTATAATTAATGCGTGAAACGAAGGGCTTCAACTTAGCGTGAATGTGTTTGCTGAGGGATAGCTGATTTGTGTGGGCAGGATCCCACTTACCAGAATATGCCACTGATTGGAACACTGGGGGATACAAAATATTGTATCAGTTTTAACCTACTATGTGGAAAAAGTTTGGAACGACTACTTTAATATAATCTAGATAATTTCTAATATAATTTTGTCTAATATTTATACTCTTCAAAATCGAGCAATTCCATTTCTACATACATGTATATTGTTATTATTATATTTCAATTGAATTCCTTCAACAGCAATAAAGCAATGACAGTACACTATTAAATATTAGCTGCCTTATTGCTGTTTTTTACTATAAACTATAGTTCAACTTACTATGTCTTTTCTTAAGAGGGAGTGGAGGGGGTTTACTGGCATCTGGACTATCGCCATTATTAGTGTGTAAACTACAGGTTGATAAATGCTCGTTTTCAGGTACATTGTCGTACTGTGATGGCTGACGTTCTTTTCTTCGTTTCGACCGTTTTTCTGGTAACGCCGGTGGCATACCATTAGCGTCGGATGCAGAAATCGATTCCATCTCCTACAAAAAATATAAACCAATGTAAGATCCATATGCATTCGGTTGAATTATCAAATTAGAATATATGATTTAGTGTAAGCTTAATGACATCATTCCTCGAGCTACTAAATATATGACAAATATTAGTTCTTTGACAATTTTTCAAACATGCAAGCTGTACATTGTACAAGTAATCAAAATACCGATAACAGGTGTAAAAAGTATACATTACAATAAAGGACATTAGGTACACCAGTGTAAGTAGAAATAAGCTGTAAACTTATAATAAAAGAAAAGAAAAAAACACGATAGACAACACCCACATTTACCAATTTTTCTAATATCGCAGGATCTCCACTTCCAGACATATTTGTTGTGCTAACGGTACTCTTTGAACTAGTCATTGTCTTCTGAGTGAAGATAGACCCGTTACTGTCCGAAGACAGTTTCGTTTGCGAAAACGATTGTTGAGAGTTGAACGTTTGGGAATTATAACTAATGCTGCTCTGCTGGGACGATCTTTTGGACGTTATACTGGAAGTAGTATAACTCTGAGACGAGCTTCGTTGTGAATGCATGGATATGAAACCGGATTCTTGAGTTTGGGTCGATAATCGTTCCATTTTTCCTTCTATACCTAGAACATAATAATTATACACCTTATAGTAACACATTAAGAATTTTCACTCGAAATTCTTTAATTTTCTTACACAAAAATGTTTTCAAGGTTTCCCAATTACGATCAGCGGACATGATGTTCGAATCTTTACAAGACCCGGCAATTAACTAAATATAGAGAACCAGTATAGAAAAAGAATTCCAGCTTATTACACTGACTCGAATGAAGATCTATATGATACTGTTTATTCACGTAGTCGGAAGGTCTGACGCCTACGCTACCTGCTCCACTAGCTATTTGAGGAATTCTTGCGTAATTTTAGCTCTTACATTTTTTCTTTACATTTATAAATGTGCAACGTCATCGGAATCGCCTTTGCTTCAGCACGGTATTGGCAACGAGTATAAAGTGATTTTGTATTACCCACCGGTGAATGGATTAAGCATTTCTTGTGGAGTTTGTTGACCCAACAACATGGTGCTCGGTATGTTTGTTTCGGAACCATCCCAGCAACTACAGTTTGAACTACCATTAACTTGCATGCCTACAAAGGTAAAAGAACGTTCATTAGATTTTTCTTTACATTACATTTTTGCAATGATAGTAAAATGTTTGAAAGATAGTTATTGGATTTTTATATACAAATAAATACGATTCGTTAGTATAGCTTACACCACATGATTCTTTTATCACTGATTATTCCTTCAAAAATTATTTGTCTTAGGAACTAAAATTATCCGTGGCTTGAAACTTTTCCAATAGGACTGATTCAATGATTAAGACAAACATAGTTGAGAACTATTTCGCTGACTAAGCACTGTCCACACTGTGGTTTTCTTGCCACAGATGGAAATGTACTTATACAGTTCTTCTATTACCTCGATAGAATGGATCCAATTTCGTTATTATAGCTCATATGAAAACTTTGCAAAATAATCACTACGTCTTTATCTCTTTGATTACAGTCAAGTTGAATTTTCTTATTTTCAAAGCATTATATAAAATTTGAGTTAACATCAAATATATTGTAAATTTACATGTTTACAACTTATAATTTTGTAATAAGCTAATCTAATAACACGGATATGGTAATACATTTAAATAAATGACACATTACTTTCACTTTAATAATAGGGATCTAATCACAGAACCTACCTTACCAGTTATGAAGTAGATATTTCATCTTATCACTTCCAGTAACATGTTTTATTCATTATACTATCATTGAATCTAACAAGACACGAATGAAAACCTTCTACTACTATAATCTATCAATTAACAACTCTTCTTACATTCCTATTTTTTCCTTCCTTAACTAAACACCTACTTCTTTAAACATATTTAATACTGGTTCGATACACCAGTTAACATACTTGTACAAGGAATTACAATATTTTCCACAATGCAGTATCATATCGCTTAGAATATCATCGACTTACAAATGTGTCTCGACTCATCGAGGAAACCCGATCCTAAGAGAATGATTTATTACCCTGAATAGTAGCCATGAGGCTGAGATCCATACTGTCGTTCAGAGACTCGTCGTTTGGTCCCATGATTGCCCGTATCTCATCCTCGTCCCGAGAATGATTCAGGGCCGAATCCAAACTGCCAGCCGACGCGCTTAGAAGAGACGACGAATCCTCTGGAGATCGACTTCGTAGGGAAACACCGTCAAGACTAGATGCTAAAAGACCCTCGGACTCGTCGAGCAACTGCTGAGCCCTCGTTCTCCGTTTCGGTGGCAACGGTGGCGGCGTGCCGGAAGAACTATTTTCCTCCGACAGACACACATTAGTTCTGGAAATCATCAATGTGGCATTAGTCTTCATCGGATTAATCTCTGGCACGATGATTTCGACTACGTACGACAAGAGTTCATGCAATGTTACTGTCTATAAGAAGCTTAGGAAACTACCTCTCGGGGAGTGGTGGTTTTGGGGGTGGACTAGAATCCCTTAAAATCGACTCTGAACTATGCGAACTACGGACCAGACTAGTAGTCGCAGCGGTCTGCTCTAAAATCTGCCTTTCCCTCGGGGTTAGCGGGATATCGGGTAAAGAATTTCTTTGTGGCGTCAATTCCGATCCATAACCCGACGTTCTGAAAATTCATTGCAATTGTTCATCGTCAAATTCTGTCGTTATGACGACACAAAAAAATGGCGAGATTTTGGTCGTTGTACTAGAAGATACGAAGAGTTATTGGAAATTGTGGCTCGAGACAGGGTTTCATCGGATAGGTACCTATTACTAGTTGTGACGGCGGCAGGTTTCTGTCTGTTGGCGATCTTCTCGTTCGCCAGAGCGACAAGGTTTTTCACAGCTTCCTCGACTAATCCTATGATGTGTGTCACGTTCTCAGTGTCCAAGGCAGAGGACTGGTCACCGTGCAGCAGCACGTCGTCGCAGAGCTTCAGTAATTGCGCTAGGGCCTGATACACCTGGTTCGTCGCTGATCCCAAAGTGGAGCTTTATTAAAAAAAAAGAGGGAGAAAATGCAATATTGAGTTAAAAATTATATTAGTGAATATCGAATATGATTTAATAATTTTATTTTCATTGGTGTTCGATATCTTCTTATTTCAAGAATTTCCCCTAGTTTCATTATTTTCTACGTTTCTCTATGCACTCTTGATTTGGTACGTTAATTTAATTAATTAAAAATAAAGCTTCATTGTGCATATTTCGTTATAATATATTTCGATTATATCTCAACAGTTTGAATAATCCTTTTTAATATTTTTACTAAGAAGTTTCACTAGAAATTCTGGTAAACAGAATAATGGTACAGAACAATCGTGTATTAAAAAGAAGTCTTGTTAGACCCGATGCTACTTTTAATTTCTTACTTCTTTTCTGCATTGAAGTTCCTTCTCTTAATTAAAAGTCTTAAAGTACCGGTCTAGGAATTTCAGAAGAGGCGCTCCTTGTATTTAGGTGACTCAAGGAGTCTCTCAAGTTAAGTCACGATAATACCGCCACTGCAGTGACTCGAATTAATATATTGCAGTGCCCCAAAAGTACACTGTGCACAAACTTTCCCTAACTACACCCAGCCGAGACATTCGCTATGGATATCACAAAATTCATTTATCCGTAAATAACGAAATATCACATAAATATCACTGGTAATTATACATTCAAGCTTTACTATAACAATTCACAATAGTTACTAAATGCCAAACTTAGCATGATTTAGAATTTTCAATCAAATAACTCAAAACTGTTATTTAGATGCAGTGTCAACAATCAATACTCAACGCTAAACCTACCACGACTGGTTAAACAATCGATGGGGCCCCAAGGGAAATTATTTAGGTACAGTGTTAACAATCGTTACTTAATGCCACATCTATCGCGCGATCGGTTAACCCTAACCTAAAAGTACGGATCTTTAATAGGTACCTGAACATAGCTGCCATAGGTAAATAACAGTAATATATTAATTACAATTCTATTTCAATACGAGTGAACATTAATTTTTTTAAAAACAGGTGCAAGAAGGAAAATTCCAAGATTGGTCACTTCAACTGGCAGTTCCTGTGTCAAATGATCGACAGTACCAGCAGTAAAATTTCAATGAAATTAGAACTAAAGATGTTAGGAAGCCTAGGATACTTAAATTAAAAGAAAAATCGAGGAGCTCCAAGGAGTTACCAGTGCAACGAGTGCAGAATTTTTAATTGCAAATTTAAAAAGGGTTATTTAGGTACAGTGTTAACAATCGTTACTTAACAACACATCTACCGAGCGATCGGTTAATAGGTACCTGAACATAGCTGACAAAGGTAAATAACATTAATTTCAGTGTAATATATTAATTATAGCTCTATCTCAATACGAGTGAACATTAATTTTTTTTAAAAGCAGATGCAAGGGGGAAAATTCCAAGACCAGCCATTCAGACTATATTGGTATTTCCAGTGTCAAATGACAGACAGTACCAGCAGGAGAATTTCAATGAAATTAAAACAAAAGATGTTAGGAAGCCTAAGATACTTAAATTAAAACAAAAATCGATGAGCTCCTAGTGCAAAATTTTTAATCCAAAATTTAAAAACGGTTCTTTAGGTAATACTAATAAATTCCCAGAGCTTTTCAAGGTTTGCTAAATTATACGATCCTGACGATCCTCTTTACCTGTTCTCGTACAGGAGATAGGACTTGAGCACGGTGTGTATGGTGGTGACGGTGTCGAGGACGATGGTGCCGTTGCCGGGCAGCATCTCGAGCTTCTTCTTCGACACGACGTCCCTGAAGTGGAGCAGTGCCAGCTGCACCTGTCGCACGTGGATATGCAGGTCGCGAAGGGGGTTCTTATCGAGAGTGTTGGCGGCGTCGGTGCAGCCGGGCGCACTCTTATCCCTCGGCGTCCGCGGCGACGAGGGCGACGCGGCCCGCGTCGCCGCCCCGCTACCGCCGCCGCCGCTCCCGCTACCAGGAGAACGCATGTGGGAGAGCTTCTCCAGGAAGTCCTCCTTGAAGGAGCGCGCACGACGCGCAAGTTTTCCGCCGCGCGCCTTCCCGCCGGACCGCTCCTCGGCTTCTGCAATCCGACAAATGGTAAGCAATTAATTTCCGTGTATCTGCTCCCGCTGTGTAATAAATTATTACATGTCACACACGAAAGCTCGTAAATATCGACTATTGGCCCCTGACGCTATTATTAACAACTGCAGGTGACGCGTGATCAGACCAGGATCGAAACATCATATCTGGACACAGGATGGTGCAGCTGTAAGATCGAATATTTCGTGGAAAATTTTGGCTGGCCTTATACTCATGGCTCTTTGTCCAGGACTTCCAAAAGTCCAGATTTTTGTTTATATTTCTCGCCAATTATCGTGAATGGAGTATAAATGCGACAGAAAGTTGTCTTTGAAAAGTATGGTTTCGAGAAAGAATTCTTTTTTTAATAGTTAATTAGGATTATGAAATATGATTTAATATCTTTTTATAAAACATTTGTCCATTTTGGATGGTATTATATTAGGTGAAATTATCGTCCTCTTTTATAAATGTTTATTATAATTGAATGATGAGTGAACTGTATTTTTTAAATATTTCTTTTTAATTATGAAAAATCGTGCAATGGGAAAGTCATGTTTGAAAAGTATAGTTTTGAAAAAGAATTCTTTTTCTGATAGTTAATTAGGACTATGAAGCGTGATTTAGTATCTTTTTATAAAACATTTGTCCATTCTGGATGGTTCTATATTAGGTGAAATTATCAGCCTCTTTTATAAATGTTTATTATAATTGAATTATGAGTGAACTGTATTTTTTTAATATTTCTTTTAATTACGAAAAATCGTGCAATGGGAAAGTCATGTTTGAAAAGTATGGTTTTGAGAAAGAATTCTTTTTCTGATAATTAATTAGGACTATGAAGCGTGATTTAGTATCTTTTTATAAAACATTTGACCATTTTGGATGGTACTATATTAGCAGAGATTATTGTCTTCTCTTATAAATATGTATTATAACTGAATGATGAGTGAACCTTATGTTTTCAATATTCTTTTTAATTATGAAAAATCATGCAGTGGGAAAGTAGATAATTTTGGTTAATCTATTAATCTGAATATCTATTTTATGCAAGATGAAATTATAAATGAAATATTAAGTATACTATACAAACCTGATATAGTATAATATATATAATATATAAAGTTTGTAAAATTAAATTTCTAATATGACATATAGAAAATTGGATTATTTTATCTTGAAGTATGATTCACGATAGGGACGAATTATTCTCCTAGATAGGAATACTCGACATAAATTCCTGAAATTAGGTGTATTCAAGCTTCGAAAGCAACCAAGACAGACAGTGAATTGTTCTTGGTCGTTGTTGCTGCTACATTGCGTTCAACCGAATTAAACTAAGTTAAACCCGGAAAGTGAGCACGTTTACGGTAAACCAAGCCGAGTTTAACTCCGCCGTCTGTTCTTTGACTGCAAAGGATTTCGAAAGCTGAACCCTGTGTAATTCCTTGAGAACGCAGAAAGCGTTCTTCTTGTTCAAAATCAACAAACTTCGCTCGTTACCAACGCGGAAGCTAAGCTGAATATTCTAGATCGTAAATAAAAATTTCATTGGAGGCATTAAACGATTGTTTGAGAATCCACTTCCATTCATAGCAAATAACCTGATTGTTAAGATAAAATAATCGCCATTAAATAATTTATAGTACGGGCATTTAAGTATTTTAACAACTATAAATTCTACTTATCATTTTGTCCACAACAAATTATTATTGGTACAATTAATTAATTACTTTAATAATTTTTCTTTTTTATATCAACAAATTTCTCTATTTAATTTGTCAATCCTATTCGGATTTAAATTTAAAAAAAGCCACGTCAAGATTAATTAATTATGATGATTATTATTATTCCGAAAATAATTTATTTCAATAATTTCATTCCTATATCTACAAATTTTTCTATTTAATTTGCTAATCCCATGCAAATCTAAATTTAAAAGACCCACACCGTAAAGAATAATAAAATATTTAGCTTACAGAGTACATTGTAATAATACATGTATATTTCCTGATTTACAATAAAATTAGAGTAACAGTTTTTAATTCACACTTTCTATCAGAATAGTTCTAAAAAGACAATTATTCTGCAGTCTCTAATAATAAATTAATTAAACCTTCCCACACAAAATGGCAATATTATACTGAGACGCAATTCATTGAATACAAAATAAGAAAATACCCGTGTTTTCCAATTTACAAGAAAATTGTAATAAAAATTTCTGATACCGATTTTATGTAGTAATAATCATAGAAGAATTTACCAATTTCGGTCAAGAAACCAGTCGAATATCCCTAAACACTTGGAAAATTTTCCAAGGAACTTAAGAGATTCTCAGACTCCTCCTTTTCCTGTACATTTTCTCGCAAAGCATCGTCGCCTCTATAAACTGGCATCGCAGTTGGTACTTTCAGCGTTATTTCATCCAGGCCAGGCCAGCCTCGATCGTAATTTAAGGCGACAGTTTTGGGTATCGGGCTCGTTGCACCAGCTGCAATAAACGGTGCAGCGTTCTACGTGCGACCGATAACGGGAAGAAATACGAAGTCCCTTGGTCATTGTTCTCGGCGAGTTTCCCTCGCGGACCTAAGAACGCGTTTCCATCGGCGTCGATGCACACGTGCACCGCACGACCGGTTGCATACGCCAGGCGCATATAATACTCCTTTTCCTTTTCCTTTTTTTTCGCCTCCTTATTTTCCGTTTCTTCCTTTTCCTTTCTTCGTTGCTTTCGGTTGGAACGGGAGGTGAATAAACCTTTTAACCTTTTCGCTATGGCAACGTTGGATGAACAACAGCCATTGCGAGAAAGCAGTCCCTGCGCGTTAAGGCGGTTTCGTATCGTGTACTCGTGGAATAGGTGATATTTGAATAAGAAATAGATACGAGCGTCGATAAGGTTAGGTAAGGAGATTTTGTTTGCAATGGTTCGAACAAAGGAATTGTTTTACGGTAGGTGTTAACCCTTTGCACTCGACGAATTTTTCGTTACAGGAAAATTGTAATTCGAAGACTTTCTGCCATAAGGTCGACGATATTTTTAAAATTGTAAATAAGAAATAGTAATAATAGCAATTTGAAACGTAGAATTATTTTACTTCCATATTCCACGCATCGAAGGGTAATTATAAATTTGATATATTAATTAACGTCCATCTTTAAAATCTGATAAAATGGCGACTGAGAGGCGCCTCTCGAGTACAAAGGGTTAATTCTTTTGGCGCGATGTTTGAAAATTGGAAGTATTTCTAGTGCAGGTATGGAGAAAAAGTACTTTACGGTGCAAGGATTAATAAAATAAATTTTTTAAAGGAGTTTAGAAAGGAGATGTACACTTATATTATATTATATTCAAATTCTTAATAGTTGGAAAAATAATAGATAAATTTTATCAATTCTATAGATGAATCCTGAATAATTCAAAGACCAACGAATCGGATTTATCAATTCCATTATCCCAAACGAGAAGAACTAAAGGAATGGAAAAAAGGAATCAATCCCATCAATCCAACAATAATAACCTCCCCACCCCCAAAATCCACCCTTTCCAAGCCGCTACAATTACTCGATTCGTAAACAGCCGACAAATAATCCAGAGATATCAATTGCCTCGTTTCCCAGCCTTGACTGATCCACTATCCGATATTAAAACAATTACTTTCATGTTCCGGACAATTCACCGGCCGGATAAACGGGTTCGTCAATGCAGCTTTCCTTGTAGCCAATGTGTTCGCTTGTAACGAGTTAAATAGTTATGGAAATTTAAAATAATTATAAATTATTAGGTTTACTGTTAATAACAAGTCATTCTCAACGTAAATTTATAATAAAAGTGAAAACATTAATAAATTAATGGTTGTTACTTGAATTTATAATTATTACAATTTGTAATTATTGAAAAAAATGTATAAATTATTAGACTGAATGTTAATAATAAATTAATATTGTCAACAAGAAAATGTTCACACGGTAAATTTATAATAAAAGCGAAGAAATTAACAAATTACTGGTTATAAATTTAATTTACAAGGTATTTACTACAAAAAGTTTATAAATTATTGGAATTATTGTTAATAACAAACTAATATTGTTAATAATAAATAGTTTACAACTTAAATTTATAATATCAGTGAAAAAATTTATAAACAATTGGCTATAATAGCGGAAAAATAATAATTAATAAAATCGACCAAGTTCGAAAATTTCCAATCGGAGTGGGGGAGCTTGACCGACCGTCGGCTATATAAGGGGCGATGCGACGCAGCAAAAATCAGTTGTCGGTTCGATTTCGGAAGTGTAACATCTAAATTTTCGTAAATTCTTGTGCGCGAGGGGTAGGGGTCCGGAGTGAGGTTGGGGTTGGCCACCCCACCCACACCCCACCCCATTAAACAATTTAATCAATTTCTTTTGTTTTCAGGTATTAATAATTTTTTTTTTGTATTCAGTTGTTAATTATTTTATTTTTTTCAGGTTTTAACTATTTTTTTTTCTTTCAGATTTTATTTTTTCGTTTTGATTTGAGAATTCGAATATTTCGTATAATATTCGAATGTCTCATCGTTAGGTAGTTCATATCGCATCGTTGGATTGCTTATATCTTATTGTTGAGTTTCTTATGTCTCATCGTTGGGTTGTTCCATCTATTTGACTCATCATTGTGGTTCATATTCGTTTCGTTCTTATTGTTTTTCCTCTTACTAATCCGTTTCTTTACAGGTTTATATTAACAATAATATATTCTGTTTTAGCTTTTAGGTTTCTCAAGACTTCATTTGCGACACATCAATGAAGGATGCGTGCGTTTACTTTTAAGTAATCATAAGATAGATCCATAGATTAAGTAGCATGTGCGCGCTATCTGTACAAAGGTAAGCTACCTGATTTGGAGCGAAATTTATATATTCTCTATCATTATCTCATCCCCCTCGTTTCGCAAATAGAACATAATTGTTCTCGCGATAATCGCGATCGTTCGTAAGTGCCGACTAGCCTACGCGATGTGCTTTCATGT